ACTAAAAGTCATTTTAAAATGTATTTTTATGACATTTTGTCAATCACATCACATGACAAAATTGTTGCTACCAATCACCCCTCACTTAAAAACAAGAAATTATTAAATCAAAATAAATGTCAACAAACTTACTTTGTAAATAGGAATGATGAAGTAACACTTCACAATAATGGAAGAGCTTTAACAATTTATTAAATGATGTTACAATTTATGGGTCATTTATGTATTTCACTCCATTAATGTCCTATTTCTATTAAGCTATTAAGCCATTTCAACATTTCATACAACCAGGGAAACAAGTGATTTCTAACTAGTCACACTGTGTAAATTCTGCTCTGCTCTCACCTCCTGCCACCTCCTGTGGCAGCTTCACTGAGTTTCTTTGTTGAAATATCTAAATGAAATGAAACCACATGTCCCAATGAACACCATGCTGGCAATAAAAAAATGTGGAAATTTGACCTGAGGCACTGAGACACTTGAAGTAAGCAGAATCTATGTATAGACACACAGCAAGTCAATAGGCCTAATGTGTGCAGATTTCCATTCTGAACGGTACTGGCTCAGATAAAGCTCAAGAGAATCCAAATGTTTCTGAGGAAGAACGTCCCCACCTTCTCCACTCGCTCTGACGAGGACAGGACGGTAACTAGGTTGCCCCATGACTGCTTTCTAAAGTCACCACTGCATCTGAAGTTCTGTTAGTCAAAGTCAGCCCTACAGGTGGTTAAGCTGATCCTAAATCTTTGTCTAAAGGCAACTTCGATGTTAAGAAAAGACAGGGCTAATTGTTCTCTCTCACTCTCTCAAGGCTGCTGACCAATGACAGTGTCTAACCACTTCTTATATGCCATGGCAAAGCGTCTCTGCTCAGGGTTAGCACAAGTGTCCAGGATACTGCTAACAAAGTTGTGCTCAGAGAGCAGGGCTGGGGGGGCAGGCAGCATGATGCCTCTCTTCAGTCTCTTGCTGTCATGTGGGTCTGGCAAGGACGCCGCGTCTACTTCCATAGGTTCATTAATATGCTTCTGTCCATTCACACTCACCCCCTGGCCTGCACAGCTTTGAGCACCAACCTCTGGCAGGCATGGATCACTGTTGTTGAAGTGGACAGACTCGACGCTGCCATTGCTGCTGCAGTGCTGCTGGTGTTCCCTTCTCAAATGGTGCCATAAGTAGAAGATATGCCGCCTGGAATACAGTGCATACACACATTCGGCATCTTATTGTCGAAATGTACTGCCCAAATACAGCGTGTGGTCATAACTATAGCACATGGGTAAATGGTCCACATATTAGTGTACAGCTGGTCTAAGGTATGCTTTTCACTGGCTAAGCTAAAAGCTATACTTGTACAATCTTTAATAACATGCTCAACAGTCATGTTGTCCACATACTTTTGTCCACATCGTGTGTAATAAAGATGAGGCCATTATGTCACTAACATTCATATTACCAATTTTCCTGGGGAGACAAAGTTGCATGTTAACATTAAAAATGCAATCTTGTCACAAACCTCCACTTGACATGATTAAAAAGAAAGTGAAAGAACAAGTCTCATCACATCTCATCTGACTATGAACCTTTTTACCTGTCATGACAGTCAAAGCACATTTAGCAGCAAATTCACACTTTCCAAACACACTCCTGTGAGCTCCTGGCTGTAGACAAGCACAGTGTAGGCATGACAGACTTGTCTGATGGATTGGTTCTCAGGTCACACTGTGCACCAAAAAGGCTGTTTGCATAGATTAGCTCAGGGGTTTTCAAAGTCTGGGTAGGTGAGTTGTCTCAGTTACTTTCTTCTGTGATTGCAGTTCCTCTAGCTTCCTATCACCAAACGTGCTTACATGGTCTCATTCTGTTATTAGCTAAGTTAGCACCGCTTTGCAAATAACACACTGTGGCAGTGGAGCAAAATCAGGACCAATCCATGAAAATCCAAACTTTAAATATTCATTGCCATACCCCTCTGTCTCCTCTTTCACTGAAGTAAGTTACTACAAATGCATAGCACAGCTTTAGTTTGATGTTTACAGTTTTTTTTTCTGGTTTATCTTTTTCTCACACTGCAGCTCCTCTGAAATCTTCTGGCAGCCCCAAGGGGATACGCACCTCACAGTTTGAAAACCGTTGGATTAGTTGAAATAAATGTATTATAGTTGTGAGTGGCATTATTTCTTTATGCCTTGGTTTTAGTGAGGACTTATATGACTGGGTTTCTGCTGTCAGAGAAAATGAGGCTACCTTGGAGTAAACGTGCCAATGTCACCACAGATGGATCGCCAAACTTAAATGGAAAAAACGTCAAAAGGAATCCAGGATAAAGTGAAAGAGGAAAACCCTGATCAGGTTGTTATTTTCTTTCACTCCATCATTCATCAGGAATCTCTGTGCAAGTCTGTATTGCAACTTAATCATGTTGTGAATCCAGTCGTAAAACTTGTTAACTTCATATGAGCACCATCAGTTTATTACGTTCCTGGCAGGAACCGATGCAGATCACAAGGACTTACTTTAGCTTGGGCAAAGTGTTTCAACAAGTGTTAGAGCTCAAAGAGGAGATTAGCGCATTTTTGGAGTTAATGGGGAAATCTGACAAATTTCCTGAGCTGAGTGACAAGAACTGGCTTTGTGACTTTGTGCTTGCTGTGGACATTTTTTCACACCTGAATGAGCTGAACGTGAAGCTACAGGGGAAAGATCAGTTTGTGCATGAAATGCTCATAAATGTGAGAGCCTCCAAATCCAAGCTGACTTTATTCTCCAGATAAATTTCAAACAGATCTTTCGCTCATTTCCCCACCCTAGCCATACAGAAAGAGGCCACCCGAAATGCAAAGAAATACAGCAAATCACTGGACGACCTACATGGAGAATTCTGCCATCAGTTCTGTGATTTTGAAAAAATTGACAAGTCACTTCAGTTGGTGTCCTGTCCCCTGTCACAAGACCCTGAAACAGCACCACAGGAGCTGCAATTGGAACTAATCGATCTTCAGTCTGCCTCCGTTTTAAAGGAGAAGTTCAACTCTCAAACTGAATGACTTCTATGCTTCACTTAACGAAGCCACGTTTCCAAACCTCTGGAGGACGGCACAGAAGATGCTGGCGTTGTTTGGCTCGACCTGTGTGTGTGTGAGCAGACGTTCAGCGTCATGAACATCAACAAAGCCATTATTCCTCTACTGTGTTATGAAAAAAAAATGCATTTGGAGAATCATTTGTACAATAAGCCTTGTGTATTCATGCTTTTCTACCTGTTAAAGGCCAAAACCTTTTATATGTCATTTATATTAGACCACACAAACACTCCATCCTTCTGCTCCCGGCCCCTCTGTCAAATTTTAGAACCCATTGTGGCCCGCGAGTCAAGAAGTGTGCCCACCCCTGCCCTAGTTTCTCCCAATGGCCAGAGCAGCACCTTGCAAGGTCAGCGCCACCATCAGTGTGTGTGTGAGTTGGCACTGCAGATGGCTGCCTCGGTTCTGTACTGGAAACAAATTCCTTGTGTATGTAAACACATGCTTGGCCAATGAAAATGAATATCATTACCATAAATTATATCAGTGCTGCCAGTATTTTCCTAGTTTGTCCCAGATGTTTTCCATCTTGTCCAATTTTTTTCCTAGTTTGTCCCAGATGTTTTCCAATTTCCAGTAGACTGTAGCTGAATGTAGATCATAAACCCATTTCTTCCTCGACTATAACGTGAAGTTACCAAATGCAGTGTTCGGGAGTAGTGAACATTATATAATTACATTAGTTTAACTACTTGCAGTAGCTTGCTGGTAGTTCAAATACATTCATAATTGCACAATGATTTAGGAAGTTCAACTATTGTCAAACAGTTTTGGGCCATAAAAGAAAACAAATGCTTTTTTATTTTACCCTGCAGCATGCGAGCAGCTTGTCAGTATTGGCATGGACATTTTCTGTGTCAAACAGAGTTGCTTGTTTGATAAGAACTTTGAGAGACGGATTCTGCTCAGAGAAGTAAAACTTATTTAGACCAGTGTTCAAGCTGTTGATGGTTAACCTTTACTGTCATTGTACAGAACATAACAAAATTACACGGCAACTCCCAATACAAATAGAATAGAGTAATAAAATAAAATAACGTATCACAAGTACAAATGTCCTTAAAACCATCACAATAAAGCATAATAATAATCTCTAAAAGTGCCATCAGTAGAAGTGCAGTGCATCCAGACCAATAATTAAATACCTAAATATCTCCATGTATACACATCTAACATTGTGCATTTAGGATTCTGATAACTTGGGGGGAAAAGCCATCTTTCATTGTTGTTGTTGTTGATGCTGATTAACCCGAACCTTCTGCCCAAAGGCAGGAGCTCAAATAAATGGTGTGTTGGATGTGTTTGATTCCTGATGAGGTTCTCTGCACTGTTTAAATCTACTCAAGCAGATGGAAGACATACACCCAATGATTTTCCCAGCAGATTTAATAACCTGCTGTAGACCTTGCTGCTCAGCCCTGGTGCAGCTGTTATACCACACTGAAATATTATAAGTGGGCACACTTTCAGTGGCACAGTGATAAAATTGGAGCAGGGGTTTTGGGGGTAGGCTTGCCCTCCTCAGCCCCCTGAGATAAAAAGGCACCGCTGGGCTCTCTTTATCACTGTTGCTGTACTTGTTTCCCATGTCAGATTTCCTGAAACCATCAAGCCCAGAAATCTAAAGTGTGCCATTCTCAACCTCTTCTCCATATATCAAAAGTAGGTCATGTTTGATGGCAGTCTTGCGAAAGTCAATTATGTTGGATGTTACAAAACTGACAGGACAACAAAAACATAATATTCCCTGCAATTTTGTCATTGTGAAAAGTCCAGATGGGATTGTTTTATTTAGAACAGGTTTAGGTCTCAGGTAATAAACACAACTGAAAGTTCACGTATAGAACATGTACACGAGTATAAATGTTATGCTGTACTATATTTAAGTTTCATGTTTTATATTATTTTCAGTTTACGTGCAAGCTGTGCTCTGCTAAGAAGTTGCTGCAAAGTGGCAAACCTTGTGTTATGTTCTCACCTGTGACTCCAGAGTGTCTCGTGTCCAGGGAAGGACTGGATCAAGTCTGAGCACAGCTCCATCTCCTGGTGGAAGAGCTGAAGGATTTTGGTGAAACGGAGCCACCTCTCCTCCCCGCCTGCTGCCTCTGCTCCTGACAGCTCCCCATTAGCTTGGCCATGGTTGTGATGGTGGGAACTGCTGCTGGGGACTGTGTTGGACTGATGTTTGGATGAACTGGTGGTGGTACAAGCTGGAGTCTGGGACAGCTCAGTGATCAGCTCCTTGAACAGGAATTGGCGGTAGTGGAAACCACTGTGGTCAGACACATGCATGGACACCCATAGGCGCATAGAGGACAGTTCATCATGGAAAACCTGTCAGTGGAAACAGCAGTAAGCACAGATGTTTGTGAACAAAACTGATAATAAGGAAATATAACACATACATGTGGGAGATCAGACCTTCATGTTTGCAATTTATCCATTAGGTGATATTATTCAAGATGGCCTACTTAACACACTGCCTCAAGTAACTGGGACTGCATTAGCCTTCTGCAGGACCTTTACTTTCACAACTCAACAACTAAAGCTCCCATTTTTGACATTGGCACATGGTCAAGAAATCATACAAGCTGTAAACATAAGACTAAAGTTATACTTTTGGGTAAACATATCTACAGTAGCATGCCACACCACACCATTTCATTTTTATTACTGAGGTACAGAATTTGAAAAGGATGAATGAGACTAAAATAAACATGATTGCGCTTAACAAGAGCAATGCTAGTTACAGAGGGACTTGTTATTTAGCATACCCTCACTGACAGAAATGTAGTGGACAAAACAACAGAAACACCTGTTAGTATAAGACAAAATAATTCAATGCACCACAAACTACATATTCAAAAGTGAACATTATCACCTTGATAAAGGGAGGATTTATTGCAGGACTATTGCATTAAACAGTTTTAACTTTGTGTACCTAACAACTGTTGAGTGTAAACCAATATTTAAAAAATAAATACATAAAAGCATCTCTTCCTTGCCCTACCTTAGCATTGCCCTTAGCCATGTGCTGTAACACCCAGATGCGGTGAGACCAAGCATTATAGTTGCTGGGATAGCGGCAGGCAGCATCAGAGCACACCTTCATCTCTTGGTGAAGTGTCCTAGCCAGATAGTCGCTGAGCTGTTGGCTTCTCTCTGCATCAGCTTGCTCTACTTCACCCTGATGGTGCTGCTTTCTGCTGCGTGCAACAGCAGAAAACTGATGCAGGATCTGCTGCAGCACCCAGCGTCTGCAGGGAGACATTAACTGATAGGTTAGATAACTCCATTACCCAAGTGTACAGTTGCTGCCAAACCAATTTCTACAATACAATCAATGATCCTTCATCCGTCACATGCCAATGCCATCTGCTCTTTTGAATACATAATTAGTCTCTATGTGTAGCCCCCAAATGGTATTATTGTATCGCCATGGGTCAGCCCACTTTAATCAAGCCGAATAGGACATGCACAGGTTGGCCTCTGTTTCCATTTGTTCTAAAGAGCTGGGTCAGGCTCAGCTGGCCCTGCATCTGCCCAGGGCTGAGGGGGGCCCAGGGCCGCCTTCAACAGGGGCAGCTCATTGAGACGTGATTGGCTGAAATGTTGCACTGAGGGAAAGCCCTTAAAGTGCCCTCGGCCTGCTCATGCCGCATGTTTCCAGCCATTTAATGTTTAATCTTGGGTACCTCGAGATTATTTGGAGTTATGAGGGATGCCAAGCTACTCCTTAAATTTGTTCAGAATCATAAAAAAACTGCACCGATTCAAGAGCAGCTCAGCACGGCTACACCGCTCACACCTCTACTCGGCAATACTGACCAGTGCGGACAGAAAACCACCAAAGGATGGAGGCAATTTAGGATGTTTCTGTACTATTAGGCCTTTTTAGACTTGGTTTTAAGATGCATCTCAGTGATCCGAATACAAGTGGATGGCCGAGACAATCATACCTATCAGCATATATTAACCTCCAAGGGGCCCAGCTGACCACTTGCTACTTCCAGGCTGGACTACTGTAACTCTTTACTGTCAGAATGTCACAATGTGTCCCTACCAGCCTCCAGTTCATCCAAAATGCTACAGCCAAAGTACTGACAGGAACTAGCAAGGGAGATCATATCTCTCCTATATTAGCTTCTCTCCACTGGCTCCATGTAAAATCCTTCTCCTAACATACAAAGCCCTTAATGATGAGGCTCCATCATATCTTAAAGACCTCATAGAGCCTTATCATCCTAACAGAGCACTTAGCTCTCAGAGTGCAGGTTTACTTGTGGTTCCTAGAGTCCACAGAAGTAGAATGGGAGGCAGAGCCTTTAGCTATCAAACTGCTCTCCTATGGAACCAACTCCCCGTCTCAGTTCAGGAGGCAGACACCCTCTCTACCTTTAAGATTAGACTTAAGACTTTCCTTTTTGATAAAGCTTATAGTTAGGGCTGGATCAGGTGACCCTGAGCAATGCATTAGTTATGCTGCCATTGGCTTAGACTGCTGGAGACCGCACATGATGTTCCAAGTTTCGTTCCCCTATTCTCCTCCCCTCCCCTCTCCTGGCATTTATATGCCCTTATTACATCTGCAGAGCAATGGAAATTTATGACGTGTTTTCTGAATACATTGCCTAAAGGGATCATGTATAAAGTGAAGAGAACTGGACCTAACACAGAGCCCTGTGGAACGCTGTGACTAACTTCTGTCTGTGTGGAAGATTCATCATTAACATGAACAAATTGGAAACTGGTTCAAATGTTATTTATCAGAAAATCTGTGCAGTTCCTTTAATCCCAATAATATGTTCAAGTCTCTGTAATAAGATGCTGTGGTCAATGGTGTCAAAATCAACACTGAGATCAAAGAGGACAAGTATGGAATTAAACAAACAATATATCTGCTTTGCATTCAAATGTTCATCTTAAAATTCATTAATTTCCAATAGTGGCACCATGCACATCTTGACGACAACCGTTTTGTTCCTATTGATTTCACTGTGTAAAGTGTGGATGAGTGTGCAACAGCTCAGCTGTTTGCCTGCAGAAAAACATCCAAGTCTTCTAAGTGATGCAGATGTTATCTATAGTAAACATCAGTGGCACCTGCATTATTATATTTCACAGTATGTGCAAAAACTGTCTGCATAAATCTTGTTTTAACAAGAAACTTTTCTTATTACAAGATACTTGGCTCATTTTTATGAGGTATTTTCACATCAAAACATTTTTCACATTATTAGGACCTATTGTATTTTGTTGTTTTAACAATGTACCGTAGGTAGTCATTATAACAACATTCTGTATTTTCTTGCAATAATGTGACCCCTGCACTGCTTGGAGTGAGTGCAGCGTGCACATTGTCTTTGAGCAGCACCTCCATAGCTTATTCAGTTCAGACAACTCTCATCAAAACCCTCCTATACCAAGTCTCCACACAGTGACCAATATTTCGGACCATTAAGTGAAAGGGGGGGATGCTCAAGCTCAGAAAAAGGGCATTTATCTGTATGTATATATTTAGATACCAATACATTTATGCAGATACCTATGAAATGATCTGTTCACACAGTTGTGAATTCTGAGAAAGTGTGAGACCCACTGTCCCTCATTGCATTCAAAACAATAGCATTGTGTTGCAGTTTTCCTGTGTCTTCCTGGGGCCATAAAGCTGACTGATTTCACTGACTGATTACACTAGCTAATAAATGCTGCTATTTATTATGTTATTTCAGGAGGTGAACAGCATCATTTGAAAATGAGCTACTGTGTGAGAACTACTGAAATATTTTTACATTTGATTTATACTTTACATGTAAATTGTAGTTTTCATATCTACTCTTGCTTATGTTTGAATCAGAAGTAGTTTCTAATACATATGTATATCAATAATCACTGATATTTCATTTTCATTATGATCACTTCATGCGTTACATTATACTTTGGCATTTTGTTTACTTTTGATACATACATTAAATCTTTGACATATAATCCTTTGATTTTCTGATTTCCGGTGATGATATCTAATTGTTTTGGAGATTGTTTCAGATCACAGGAGTTCATGAGGTTGATTGCTTTATTATGGTAGTCTTTAGTTTTCTTACTTATAGCTTGAATTACTTATGTTTGGTCTTTACATAGTTGCATGTATTTCACTTATCATGATGTCTTTAACCATATCATTGAAGGAAAAATAAATTGTTAGTATGCAAGTATGTATGTAGTTAGTATGTATGTATGATGTAATTTAAAAGAAACTATGAAACAGCAGATTTTTGATGATTTGTGTTTAAACCTTATTACGGCAAAGGTAAAGCCATTTCTCTCTCATAATGACTTAGAGAAAGCTACTCATGCGTTTGGAAAGATGTATCAAATTTGTTATTTCTTTACAGAAAGTACAGGAATATTCAAAAGAAGTAAGTCTGCATTTTTCTTTACAAACTCAAACATTTACTGTATAAACTGAAAAATGCTTGAAGATTTAGCTTTCCTGTGAATCACTGAACTAATATTTAGTTGTATAACCACTATTTCTGAGAACTGCTTCGCATCTGTGTTGCATGGAGTCCACCAACTTCTGGCACCTGTGAACAGGTATTCCAGCCCAGAACGATCGCACTACATTCCTCAATTCCTCCGCATTTCTTGGTTTTGCCTCAGAAACAGCATTTTTGATGTCAGGAGGTCGCGCCTTTGCCATACATGGCCCTAGGCTGTGGAATTCCCTGCCTTTAGATATACGCTTGATAACTGAGCCAGCAGCGTTTAAGTCAGCGATAAAAACGCATCTTTTCAAACAAGCTTTTAATGTTTAGTGTGTTCACTGATTTTCATCACCTTTAATAATTTATTTCTTAACTAGTTTTAATATGTTAGTGTGTGTATTGATCCTGACATATCCAAATCCCTTCCTATCTTGGGCCAATGTATATCAGACCTTGGATATCTATTTGGCTTCTGTTTGTCTATGAGTGTTCTTAACTGATATTGTATTACTATGTTTTTATTGTTGTAGCACTTTGTGCCTTTGAGCTGGAAAGTGCGGTACAAATAAAGTTTATTATTATTATTATTATTACTGGCCCTGAAATGCAACCGTCTCTTGAATGCATTTTTTGGAATGTGTTGCAGGCATCAGAATTTAGGTGAGTGTTTATTTTTAACAAAGAAAAAAACTGATGAAGTATCACATCAAATAATGTGCTGCTTTTTTGTTTTCAATGTAACACAGGACAGATGATTTACAAATCAGTATTTTCACTTTTAATTTAGATTTTTACATACCGTCCCAATTTCTTCTGATTTGGGGTTGTATTTTTCATATATTCAATTTCTTTCATATGTAGATGAGGTGTCAGGTCCATCAAAATAGGTGCCGGTCACAATTTGAGAGGTGCCGGATCCAAACAGAAAAAGTCTTACCGGTGAATCCACGTCTCTGGGCTCTTGGGGAATTTTGTGAGGGCCAGCTTGCCCAGGTAGAGGTCCTTCTCTAGGTTAAGAACTCCACACTGCAACAGCTCCTTCCTGCAACCACAATTAGCTAGGCATTACAGCAGACCTCCAAATAAAACTATAGCCTTTTTTCCACAGTGTCAGTATAGCATCCTTGAACCAATGTGTGCCGTTGAGCTGAGATTAGCTTTGTATATATAGTATTTTGTCTTTTTTGTGTAAAGATATTTAAGAGCATAGACAATGACCAGCTGACAACAAATATTCCTGTAGTTGCATTGTAGTTCATGACTATGACTAGGTGTAACGTACCTGACATTCCAGGCAGTGGTGAAATCTGGGTTAAGTAGCAACAAAGTGCAGGTGATATCCACTAAAGCTGAAGGACACACAAACATAAAATGTTTCTGTATTTTATTTAGCAGTTTTAAGACAATATTAGGATGGCACAATTACAGTGGCTTCAGAAAATATTCTACTTTTGATATACTCTTTGTTGTAGATTTAAATTTTTTCCCTCCTATTCTCCTTCCTATTTTAAATGCACATATTTTCCTATTTTCTTGTTGAATAACAAGCACACTGAGAATTTCTTGTGTTTTTAAACATACTTGGCCAGCAAACGAAATTCTAATTCTAATTATAAATGAATTAAATTGCCCTTTATGCCCACCAATCTACATTCAATAACCTATAATGACAAAGAGAAAACATTTTTAGAAATGTTTGCAGATTTATTACATATTAAAAACTGAAATCTCACATTTACTAAGGTGCAGGAACCCTTCGCTACTGCTTCAAGCTATGCTCAGGTGCATCTTGTCCGATCTGTCTATAAATACGTTTTAAAGAGTAAAAGGTATAAAACTACAGTAAAACCTTGGATTGTGAGTAAACTGGTCTGTGAGTGTTTTGCAAGATGAGCAAAAATTTTAATTTGATAAAGGAGCGAGGTCTTGCAATACGAGTAGTACGTACGCTTTGTCTGCCGAGCGTCACATCACAACTGAGCCGATGGTTCTTGTGCCTCACTCATATAGTCAATATCTGTGCTGCGGATGGTTCTTGTCACGCCAGCCACGATTCTTTTCAAAGGTAAAGTGCAGGTTAATTTGTTTTATTTTTACTTTATACTGTATTTTGTATTACTGTAATCATTTTTATATGGATAAGTGGTTGTGGGACGAATCATCTGAGTTTCCATTATTTCTTATGGGGAAATTTGCTTTGATATACGAGTTCTTTGGATTACGAGCACATTGCCAGAACGAATTATACTCCAATCAAACTTAAGGTTTTAGTGTATATCTAAATTTCCACTTTGTCCTCCCAGGAGCACAGTGGTCTCAGAGGCTGTAAAATGGGGAAAAAAACCCCACAACAGGAACATTCTTAGAGTTGGACATCTAACCAAACTGAGTCAAGAAGGGCTAGCTCAGGGAGGTGACCAGGAACACAACAGTGATTCTAACAGAGCTTCTGAAGTCCTCTGTAGAGGCAGGAGGACCTGTACAAAGGATGACCATCTCAGTAGTTCTCCATTAATCAGACCTTGATGGCCGGAAAGAAGCCACTCTGAGTAAAAGAGCATGAAAAAAATGATTCACTGGTCTGATGAGACAAAAACTGAATTCTTTGGGCAGAACTCCAAGCACTATATCTGGTGCAGTGACTGCTCATCATCTGGCTAATACCAGGGGGGCTTCTCAGCAGCAAGGACAGGAACAATGATCACAACTGAGAGAAGGATGAATGCAACCAAACACAAAGATGTCCTTGCAGAGTGCATGTTACCTGAAACTGGGGTTAAAGTTCACCTTTCACCACAACAATGACCTGACTCAAACAGCCATGACAAAACTGAAGTGGCTTCAGGACAAGTCTCTGACGGACCTTGAGGGGCCCAGCCAAAGCCCAGACATAAACTCCGCAGAACATCTGTGGAAAGATCTGAAGATGGCAGTTCACAAGCACTTTCCATTTAATCTGCAGGAGCTTGTGAGGATCTGCCAGAAAGAATTGGATAAACTGCTCAAATTCAGATGTGCAAAGTTTGTAGCCAAAGTGGCTTTTACAAAGTAATGAGTCAAGGTTCTTAACGTTTGGAAAATAATTGATTTTAGTTTTTATTTTTTATTAAATTTGAAAAAAACTGTAAACATATTTTCATTGTGTAATATTGAGTGTAGATTATTGGGAAAAGATGGCAATTTTGATGAGTTGAATACTGTATTTTCTGAAGTGCTGCTGTACTGGTGTGTCTATATGGGACCAATTTCAGGCTTCTGACCCCCAAATCAGTCCCCGACTCAATAGGTATATAGAATAAAAATGTGGATAACGCTTGATTTACGGTTCTGCATTGAATCTACATGCAAATGGCCTATACCATTGTGAGCATTTATACTTGTGTGCTGTCTGTGCCACCCTGCAATTACACTGCCAAAACACTGGTTGGCAGTTGTGTTTCTATATCACTGTGATGTGTTTCTTCTCCACTTTCTAACAATGGTGAATGAAACTGAGTGGGTCATGTTTGAGTTAAAAGTAATAGATGTTGACCCACAGATATTTTTATTGAAATTACTGGAACACAGATAAGAAACAGGACACTGGAGGAGATGGTCTGATGGGCAGAGACACACCATGACAATGGTCGGCTGTCGGCCACCGTCGGGCTGTTAGTGATCATCTCTCGAGGTTTGTCCTCCCCATGTGTCCCACACCACTGGCACTAGTTGGCCCCTGTCAGCGGTTTTTTGACCTATCTGACATGTTGAATCGGCATCGGTGGTTGGGCCTCATCAGTGAGACAGAGACCACTTTGACTGGCTGTTGAGCTTAGCAAATCAATGCATGAGAAGAGAAAGCCCCTTCAGCCTGTTGCTGTAGTATTCAGGATTTCACCCATTTAGTGCAGTTTCTCCTTGTTTTTTGCCTCCACAACCCACTTTCTCCTTTCACAACCAAACAAGGGCAGAGAACCCAAGTGTCATATGCAACTTTTTATCAAACATATTCTCGATTGAAAGTGGCCACAGACGGCATCTGTTTTGAACAAGAGGTGTTTTGTTTATAACTTATACTTCCACATTCTAGCTCTTCTTTTTTTATTTTCTGAATGGCGAATATAGATACCTCTACCTGCTGCCAGGTGGAGTTATTCCTGTCACACAGAATGTACCTGCTAGTCGGCTGTTGGCTGTAGCCTGTGCAGTGTGTTTAAGTGGCACTTTTTCAACCCGAGTGGCCCAGACAAAGCCCATGTGAGGCAACACAGAGTTCAGCCTAAGTCACTGCTAGTTCTTTCATGCCAGCTTGGTGCGTCTCTGCCCTATGAACCAAATGAGACAAAACGAGGGCGGGGGGGTTCCATACTTGTCCAGTCACTGAGAGGCGAGGAAATGCAACCAATCACAGTTGTTAATGTCTGCATCACCAGGACATGTACAGTAGGCTATGTATTACCTATGCTGTACCTATGGTGTAGATTCAACGCAGAACAATAAATTAAGCTTACATTGGTCAATATTTAATTAATCAGGTTAAAGAGAAAAGATCAGCCAGTGACAGCTGCCACAAAATTCTGAGTAATGGCTCTTGAAAAGCAAGCTGTATTACAAGGACTCAATTTTCATTGGCTATTTAAAAAATCTATATATACAAAAACTAAAATTAAACTGATTTCACCAAGGCAAGTCAAAGACCTGGTGACTGGAGACCTGCCTTTCAAAATAAATATACATGGAAAAACTACCGACAGTTGGGTACTTCATAAAACATTACTCAAATCAATTTTATTGTCAAGGCTTCTCCATGTAACAATATACCCTGCCTATTACCCGTGTTGGGGGTGTGAGGTTAAAGAAGAAAATACAACAAGGACACTTTGTACAGATATATTCTGGCCTAAAATCTGTCAAAGACATACATTTAACAATAAATAGTCTCAGAGTAAAACTTCTTTGTTGAGCGAATTCACTTACTTTCCCTGTCTAGCCAGTGTTTCCGTTGGCGATAAAGCAGCAGCTTATTATGGACATATGGAAGCAGGAACTTGACACACCAGCTCTCAACACCCAGCTTGTTCTCCACCAGCACAATAGGACTGCGGTTGTAGCGGGCCCCTGGACATGGGATCACACCGATCTCATCACTGAGCGAGAAGAAAAAGAGAATGAAGATTGATGGCAAATTTTAACTTAATCACTTTCATTGGTGGGTGGCGCAGTCGTTAAGTGGTTAGTGCTGTCGGCTTACATCAAAAAGGGGTCTAGGTTCGAGCCCGGGGCCTTTAAATGTGGAGTTTGCCTGTTATCCCTGGGCCTGCATAGGTTTTGTCCGGGTACTCCGGCTTCCTCCCATAGTCTAAAGACATGGTTGTTTGGCAGCTTTAAATTGCCCCTAGGAGTGAACGGGAGTGTGTGTGGTTGTCTGCCTACATGTCAGCCCTGTGATAGATTGGTGACCTGTCCAGGATGGACCTCGCCTCTCGCCCAGTGTAAGCTGGGACAGGCTCCACTATGTAGTAACCCCTTGCCAGGAATAAGCGGTATAGATAATGGTTGGATGGACTTTTATTGGCCAAGTATATTACACACACAAGGAATTTGTCTCCGGTACAGAACTGAACCAGCCATCTGAGGGTCCAACTCACACACACACACACAGCCTGACAGTGGCACTGTCCCTGCAAGGTCATCGGGAGCAACTTGCCCAAGGACATAGCTGCCACAATTTTTTAATTACATTTTTTTTTACATTTATTTTTTAAACTTTAAATAATTGCTGCATATCTGTCATGACAATACATTATGTGGCTTTCCTTGTGGTATCAAGTCACATCTGCAGGAATATATTGACAATTTAATTCAATTGATATTTATTTACCTTTTGCTCAGAAACTGAGAGACAAAGACATTTCCTTTCTTAGCTGCCTTTGTATTTCAGACTATTGACTTGCTCCGGGTGATATTGGCCAAAGGCCAGCCTGGTCTTCTTGGAATGCTTTTTTGCTTTGAATTTGTGAGATTTTCAACACAAACTTGAATTGTTCTTGAGGTGTTTTCACACTGTGCAATTAACAATCTTACAGGTCAGGACAATGATATTAATTTTGAGGCAAATCAATAGCATGTGATGACTGCTTGGAGAATTTTAGCATCATGCTGTAAATGTAAAAATATACATATATAAGAGCAATAACAATTTCTCAACCTGCACCATCCACCTGCTGCAATAAAAAAACAAGCTTTGACTGTAGCACTTTAAATTATTATTTACTGTGTAAAAAAAACTGCCATAGATGCCATAGGTAGATGTGTTGACTCAGCGCTTGGTTTAGAGAAAGCAAAACTTAAAAGTGTTGAAAATGTAATGCCGCATTGGAATAAAATCTAATAATTAAATCCATTCAATACAAAGCATATCAAAATTTGCAGTGTAGTTGCATAGGCTATATGAGAATGTAATTTTTAGTTGAGAGTGTGTCTTTCTCGTCAAGACTGGCCCTGAAATGCGGAAAAAGTCAAAGGTTCTATTCAGGAGAGCATAAAAGGGTAACAGAGCATGAGTTGACATGTGATCAACAATGTCATGATTATTAAATCACATGATTTCCTGTGATTTAACAATGTAACATGGTAATAACTGCTAGTGGTACAGTGTCTCGATATATACTGTGTGCGCACATGCATGCATATACAAATATATATATATATATATATACACACACAT